TCAAAACTACAACTACTTTTGCAACTGCGGGCAACTCCCCCATGAGAAGGTGTATTAGTGTATTTTAAGATGGTGACAGGATTAAGAAAAGACATTGTGTTGAACTTCAACTTGAAGCCAGAGGGAGTGTTTCGCAACCTTTCTAGTGGTGTGAATTTCCAGAAGGTTCTTGATGCTATTGTTATCAGACTCAGGGGCTTGGTCAACTATAATGGTGAGTGTTCCCAGGTGAGTCCAGGACTTCTCTCAGTTTTCCAAGTAAAAGGAAGGTCCACGCTGACTTTAAAAAGTAATCACCCCTTGTTTGGAGGAAGAATGAACTTTATTTCTTAGGCCGAAGGCTTGAGGGCTGCCTGGAGGAAGCAGCACTCAGCGTTTTGATTAGTTATCCACCGATCTAGGGTGGGAAGAGCATTTCCCACTTACATACAGTTGCAATGAACCAGTTATTCCCAGTAGAGATTTGTACATTCAAGTAATCCTGTCAAGGAACAAAGCTTTGCATTTTCTGACCATGGGGCAGAACAAGATTTGCATCCTTGAGCCCAGGACATGATGGTCTCTGGAGCTGATGCTGATAAGGTGTGAAGAAACGTAAATAAGGCAAAACCCAATCTGAGGTACTTTTGCTGGAGGTGGGCAGAACTCTTTATGTACAGGAGATGTGGAGAAGAAGCAGTGCATGCCAATGGACAAGAGCTTCGGGGTCTGGGTTGGAGCAATAGCACAGCGGGTAGGGCGTTTGCCTTGCACGCGGCTGACCTGGGTTTGATTCCCAGCATCCCATATGGTCCCCCAAGCACCGCCAGGAGTGATTCTGGAGTGCAGAGCCAGGAGTAAGCCCTGTGCATTGCCGGGTGTGACCCAAAAAGCAAAAAAAAAAAAAAAAAAAAAGAGCTTCAGGGTCCTTCTGTAGCTACTTTCTGTAGCTACTTTCCCCGGAACCCACTTTTCTTTCCTGCTTTATTTCATGCCTAGGAAGGGGCAGTTGGAAGAGGGCCCCAGGAGAGTGGAGCCTTTGGGCCGTCCTCTTGCTGGCTGTGACTGCACCTTAAATCAAAATTCTTCAGGTGGCTTTGGGGTGGTTTAGCCTGTCCAGGTTCCTTCCTCTCCCTTGATCCCTCCCCACTTGCCTTTGTTTTGCCCTTTGACAATGACTTGAGACCTCTGGAAGTGGGGGAGTCAGAGGCCCATGGAAATCTGACCATAAGAAAATAAAACAAAACAAAACAAAACAAAACAAAAAAAACAACTCAAGCCTGGAGCTATAGCACAGCAGGTAGGGCGTTTGCCTTGCACACGGCTGACCCGGGTTTGATTCCCAGCATCCCATATGGTCCTCTGAGCATCGCCAGGAGTAATGCATGAGCCCTGTGCATGTATGACCCAAAAAGCAAACAAAAAAAAAACCCTCAAACCTGACCTTTTTGTTGTTACTGGTGATTTTGAAATGAAGTTCCTTCTGCAGACAGGCAGAAAGGGACTGCAAGCCAGTTCTGATCGCTGTACCGTTTCCAGCGGCTTGATAATGGGGTGATATTTATGTAAATAAGGGCAGTGGTTATTATTCCCCCCAGCTCCGAGGGCTCTGCCATTTAGCTCTTGACTTTCAGAAGGTCTTTTTTTCTGAGTGGAGAGAGGGTCACTAAGATGGGAGAGGAGGCCCGCCAGGAGAAAAGCAGAAGTAGATAATCTTGAAATGGTTGTTGCTGCCAAGTTCCCATCTTTGGGGAGGCAGGGATTTCTAGCCCGAGTTCCGGTGAAATCTATTAGAAAGAAATCTGAGTCGAAAGCATTTGGAGGTTAATTTAGAAAAGCCAGGCAGGATGAGAGTGCTGAGTTAATGAGTTCAAACTGGCCTTGGGGGAGGGGGAGAGGTCTGTAAGCCATTTGGCCTTGACCCACCCCAGGCCCTGGCAGAAGGGAGCCCCCAGCCAGACTGGAGGAGGGAAGATGATCCTTCAGGGGGAGGCTGCAGTGAGAGGCTGGATAAAGTGGGCTGAATTAGATGTGTCCTGGGAACTGATCAAGGTCTTGAGTTTCCTCTATGATTCCTTGGCTGCCCGTTTTTTCTTCTTTATTTCTCAATACCTAAAGGCCCCCGTCGGTAGATCCCTGTTAGTTAGGAGTCTTTCCGTATAAACGTCAAGAAACGGAATTTATGTGCATGGACTCGGCCCCGCCCCTCTGAGCAGAGGGTGGAGGGCAGTGGATGGACCCGGAGACTTGTAGGAGCCACAAATTGGCCACCAGAGGTCGCTGCAGCCTGCTCCATGCGAATAAGGAGCACTAGTGCAGCCCTGGGCTCCGCAGCTGGGCTTTTGACCTGCGAAAATTCTGTAGAAACCGGTGTGTGTGTGTGTGTGTGTGTGTGTGTGTGTGTGTGTGTGTGTGTGTGTGTGTGTTTCCATTGTGTTCTTTTGCGCTCCACTGATCCCTTTTTAAAAAAACCAGAAAAGGGATTACAGGGTCCTCAGTTTAAACCTGAGCTGGCGCAGAGAGGCAGTGAAGCCTGGTAATCCTTGTCTTTGCTGAAAAGGTCTCTGGTGCTGTTACTGCTTGCTCTGGGCTCAAATGCTGGGCTTCCGGCAGGACCCTGGCTGTCCTTCAAGAGGAACCTGGGATGTCAGCGTTGCTTGTGAGTGTCGAAAAGATGGTTTGTGGAAGGCTGTTTCACACGCTTTGAAACATTTCAGTGGAAGATCCACAAGCAGGTTAAGAAGGCAGTTTAAAATATGCCCAGGCTGGAGAAATTGTACAATGAGGTTGTTTGTCTTGTATGTGCCAGACCTGGTTTTGATCCCCAGCACTACATAGGGTCCCTCAAAGCACCGCCATGAGTGATTCCTGACCAAAGAGCCAGGAGTAGCCCCTGAGCATCATTGCGGTTATACCCAGTGATGTAGGAAAAAAAGGTCCAGAGATATGTGCCTGAAAAGTAAGATTAACAGTTATATCAACCCAGAAATCTTGATAAAAATGGTATAATAATTATAATAGCTCTGTTGCACTGTCCTCCTGTTGTTCATTAATTTGCTTGAACGGGCCCAGTAGCATTGTGAGACTTGTTACTGTGTTTGGCATATCGAATACGTCATGGGTAGCTTGCCAGGCTTTGCCATGCGGGCGAGATACTCTTGGTAGCTTGCTAGGCTCTCCAAAAGGGGCGGAGGAATCGAACTCGGGTTGACCAGGTCGGCCGTGTGCAAGGCAAACACCCTACCCGCTGTGCTATTGCTCCTGCCAAATAATTATAATAATGACAATAATAATAATGAGAACCATATGCCCAGGGCGTGGCTACTTGGCATTTGCAGGAGGGTCTAGGCTTAATGCCTGGTACCTTCGAATCTCCCAAGCACAGTCAGGATCAACCCTGAGCTTGAAAGTGAGGGTAACCCTCAACCACTGAGCTATGTGGCCCCAAACTAAGAAGATGAAGAAGCTAACAGTATGTCAGGAAGAGACCCAAGTGCATAATGTACCTGATCTCTGAACTCGGAAGTAATGAAAACTCCACGCTGTTTGCACCCAAAGACAGTGCAAGGAAAGATCAACAGCTGCTGAGTGACCCACAGGGGTGCCTTCAGGCTGATCTGACCAGACCCAGGCTTCCGGTGGTCACCCTCCTTTCATATGTCTGATTCTGGGACTCTGTCATGTGCACATGGCATCTCCGAATTGCCAGCTGCCACCTGGCTCTGTGGAGAGTGGGCAGTGACCCTCTGCTCCCAGCGCCTTCCCCACCCCAATCCCCCAAAACAAGATTGGCTAACTTCGCTGTATTTTCATATGGTTTCTCTTGAGCTGCCTGGCAAGGAACTGAACAGACCTAATAACATTGGCAGATGAAAAAGACGTGCAGCAGAAATAAGAATGGATCCGTAGGCTTGCTGCTCGTGCCCATGTTCTCGCTTGAACGTGTGTTTCACTTGCTTGTCTCTTTCTCTCTTTGCTTTTTCCCACTGTGGTAAAGCTTGTGTGCTCTCTTGAATGCTTCCTTCCTCTCTCTCCAGTCACTTCAAAGTAAGTTTCAATGAAAATGATCCCACTTCACCAAAAACTATTAGAAGAAGAAACAGTAGATGCGTTGGTACCTGAACTGTGAGCCAGAAGAATTCATGCCTCGAATCACTTCATTATGGTCCATGGTCCATGGTCCCTCATGCTCATCCCCAGCATCACTTCATCATGGCCCATGGTCCATGGTTCCTCATGCTCATCCCCTGCATCACTTCACCATGGTCCATGGTCCATGGTCCCTCATGCTCATCCCCAGTATCACTTCATCATGGTCCATGGTCCAGAGTCCCTCATGCTCATCCCCAGCATCACTTCATCATGGCCCATGGTCCAGAGTCCCTCATGCTCATCCCCAGCATCACTTCATCATGGCCCATGGTCCACGGTCCCCTCATGCTCATCCCCAACAGTAGTGGAAATGAGTCTTTACTCAGGGTAGAAGTTTGCGTGCACAGACTCACATGCACCATCTTGATCTTATTCCCCAAACGATATAACCAAAAGAAATTTCTTAGATTTTTCCCCTCTTCACTCATTAGACACATAGGCACACAGTAGCTTGCTTTATTTAATTGTTTACTTTTATTTATTTTTTTTAAGTTGAATCATGGTGAGATACACAGTTACAAAGCTTTCATGATCAGGTTTCAGTCATCTAGTGTCCTAATACCCATCCCTTCACCAGTGTCCATTTTCCCGCACCAATGTCCCATCCCACCACTGGCTTAATTCTGTGACAGGCACTTTACTTCTCTCTCTCTCTCTCTCTCTCTCTCTCTCTCTCTCTCTGTCTCCCTCTCTTCCCCCCCCCCCCCCCACTTTTGGGCATTATGGTTTGCAATATAGATATTGAAAGGCCATCATATTGGGATATTGGATTGAGGCTGGAGTTGGAAGCCAGGAGGCAGAAGACAGGGACGATGCTAGCTGGAGGGTCTCTGGGGATTGATAATACATGTGTGCTTCTTCTTCCACAGCTGGGGGAAGATGGTGAGGAGAGGATGGAGCACCGGAAGGGAGTACCGGCCCACGCTCAGCACCAGCAGAAGTCTGTGGAGGCTCCGAGGAAAAGTCTGTATTTCCTAAAGATCCAAAATGCTACAGGCTGTGACTCGGGCACCTACCGATGCACCCTGGAGGAACGCGACGGGCTGAGGAACCGGAGTGGCACGGTGACCCTGAGAGTGACAGGTGAGGGAGGTCTTTGCCCTGGTGTCTTCCTGCAGGATGTGTGTCCATCCAGCCCTGGAGAACTCAGAAAGTCTCCCTTAGCAGCTTTGGATCCCAGGGAAGCTGAAGGCCCAACCCTTGGCTGGAACATCACTCTTGACTCTTTAGTTCATTATTTTCCTTGAAGGACAGAGTTGCCCAATCTGGCTGAGGTAGATACCGAAGCTAGCCAAGTCACAAATTAGACTATTTTTTCATGGAGGAGCCCATGGAGGCAAATTAGAAGCACCCAGGTTTGACTTTGGGGGGACGAGAGAAGCTGTGATGCTGAATACACAGGGAGCTGTAGAGTATTTGGCTTATTGGGACTTTCTGATTTTTTTTTTTTTGCGTGGGGGGAGGGGGGTTGAGGCCTTACCTAGCAGTCCTCAGGGCTTACTCCTGACTCTGTGCTCAGGGGTCATTCCTGGAAGGATTTGAGGGACCATATGCAGTGCTGGGGATCAACTCTGGCTCAGCAGACGCCTTAACCCCTGTACTATTCTCTGGCCTTTCCCGGGGCTTTCTAAACTGCTCAGGCTGTGAGACCTCATGCTTCCACCACCTTTACAACAGTAGGATGGCATTTTCTCTCCCTCTTCACAGTGACTGGTTTCCCAGTATCTCAATTCAGGAATTCAGGTCCCTCACTAGAAACAAAATTCACGGTCACGGTCCTCCTGTTGTTCATTGATTTGCACAAGCGGGCCCAGTAACGTCTCCATTGTGACACTTGTTATTGTGTTTGGCATATTGAATACATCACGGGGAGCTTGTCAGGCTCTGCTGTGCGGACGAGATACTCTCGGTAGCTTGCGGGGCTCTCTGAGAGGGGCGGAGGAATCGAACTTGGGTCGGCCATGTTGGCTGTGTGCAAGGCAAACACCCTACCGCTGTGCTATCGCTCCAGCCCCAGAAACAAAATTAAATGAAATTAAATTTAAAAATAAACAAAGAACACCTATCACCAGAAAAAAATGTTTCCAGGCTGCAGCCATATTTTTGCTCTGTTCAGTACTGTCAACCAGCTAGTGACCAAAAAGGAGTTCTCAACTGAGATTTCCTCAGAAACTTTCTTCATGTATGTGCAGATATACCTGGGGTTTGCCCCATTGTTGCCTAGATCTTGGTTGTGCCTGAGGCTTGAAATGACAAACATGGTGTCCTCGAGTCCTTGACTGGACACTAGCTCCTTTCTCCCCTGTCGGGGATCTGAAAGGACTCTGACTCCAGTTTTGTAAACTTAGAAGAATGTAGTCACTGAGCATAGCTCCCTGTTACCCAGAGACACACGCCTTCGCTCTCAGGAGGAAGAAGCTTCTAGAGTCTTTCATTGTTGTTGTTGTTTTGGGTCACACCCAGTGATGTACAGGGCTTACTCCTGGCTTTGCACTCAGGAATTACTCCTGGTGGTGCTCAACGGACCATATGGGATGCTGGGAATCGAACCCAGGTCGGCTGCGTGCAAGGCAAATGCCCCACCTCTTGTACTATCGCTCCAGCCCCAAAGCTTCTGGAGTCTTCCTGCTGTTTGTGTACCTAGTTAGACTGAGCCCTAGCCTGGTCCAACTGCTGGGTTTCCCCCTCTGACCTTGATTCTCTGGGAACCCAGTACGTGCCTGATGTTTATTCCCCTGAATGAGGCCTGAGCACAGACTGCAGGCGAGAGCCAAGAGTGGGCCAGTGGGAAAGGAAGTGAACAGCAACCAGCCTGTCCACTTCCTTGCCTGCCCACGGGCTCTGAGGGTTCGCTTTCCAGAGCGCCTGAGGTCTCTTGCTCAGATCTGTGCTCTGCTGTTTGTGGCCTAAGGCAGAGCGTGGGTTGACCTGAAACCTCAGCTTGCTCATCTCTGGAATGGGGAGAAGGGGGGTGTCTACCACAGGGCTTGTCCCACAGGGGGTGAAATAAAACATTGCACAAAAGACAGAGTGCAGCGCCGGTGGTAGACTGAACACCAGTGTCACGTCCAATACACATTAGGATTCACGTGGGTAGTGGCCCTTGGCCTCTCTGTCCCCCAAGTCCCAGATCCTTTTGAGAACCCACCTCTAGAGCCTTGTATAAAATTTTGAGTCCAATTTCTGGGAACTGAAGCTCTCTCAGGAGTTGAAGTTCCTGGGAGGGGGAGGGGTTGTTTGTGCATAGGCACATCTGCTTCTGCTTGAAACCCTCAGGGTACTATCTCGCTATCCCACCCAAGCATGTTGCAAGTTTGTCCTGAAATGGGGAGAATGTGCTAAGCATGCCCCATCTCCATCTGCAGCCCCCTTCCTCTGCCTGGCCCTGCAGAGCACTTTCCCCAGAGCACTCTCCCTTGGCTGTAACTTTGCTGGAGCAAGAGTTGCTATAAGAGTCGGCCACACTGGTGACTCAACAGAGACAGCAGAATCTTCAGAGTCTCCTGGGGTGAGGACACCTACCCTGCTGTGGAGCAGTCAAGTCACAGTGATTGATTCAACCCACTCAGAGACCAGGTCCCTGCCCCGAAGTGAAGTGGCACAGAAGTAGCACTGTCAGTTTGGCCACCGACCTTTGTCCCTTGGACCTCTGGAGTCCTGATATCCCCACCTGAGAAATGCAGAAGGGCAGTCAGACTTGCCTGGAATATTCAACCTTACCAGGGTCCTCTTTGTGTCGAGCAAGAGCCAAGCTTGGAGCCAGCAAAGCTGTCACTTGCTACCCATGTAGAGGAGAGAGGGAGGGAAACGCTGAACATGGCTCAGACCATCCATCCGCTAGTGAAAATCAAAGGTTCAACCCAAAGTAAAGACGGGTATGGAAGTGCAAAGAAAGCAGCAGGAATGAAGAGCACTTTAGCATTTGATCGTGGTAGAAAGGGGGTGCGATGTGACTTCATAACTTCCTTCTTTTTCTCAGGATGCCCCAAGGAACACAGAGAAGATAATTTTAACAAGTACAGAGCTGATATAATCCTGTTGGTGGTGCTGGTCATTTTCTACCTAACGCTCATCATTTTCACATGTGTAAGTGTCTTCTATTTCTCGATGCTTTCGTTGAGATGCCAAGGATCAAATCCAGGGTCTCACAGTTGCAAGGCAAGTGCTCAGCTAGCTTTGGGCGGGGCACTAAGCTCCTATTTAGTCTGACCCTAGCACCTTTTAGAAACATCTACCATAGGAGCTTAGTGCCCCGCCCAAAGCTACCTTGTTTAAAGGAACAAATGGAAAAGGCCCCCTACTGGGTCATTCCAACCCCAGCCTCTGGTGGTATCAGCCCCTTTGGGGAAACATTACTCTAGAGGCTCTGTAGAACCAGATTCAATAAGGACCTGCAAACTGTAAAGACCAGAACCAGCGAAACACAGACCCAGTGAGGGAATTAAACGGAGCATGAGAAGCCTCCTAGGGAAGTTCCAGGGTATTGTCGTTGTAGGGGTGGACAGTGGGATGACCGGGAGGTCTCCCCACCAGCCTGCCTGCCAGGAGCTCCATTTATTTCTGTAGTCACTGAGCCAGACAGATTTCTTTCACCCGTTCTTGAGTTCCTTTAGAAACTCCCCTAATAAGTTATTTAGTACTTTCACCTAGTCCTTAAGAATCAACCCTAAGAAGTTAGACGGGGTTGTGTCCTGTGTCCTTGGCAGGGGTGGGGGTGGGTGGTATGAGGATAATGGATAATCCTTGGGTAGACATCAGTCAATGAAAACACTCCAGTTTTATACCCCAATGCTAGGCATTGTAGGGAATATCAGAAGGTGTAAGATGTATCTGCCTAATCATAAGACTTATTTGCATAAAAGAAATAATCAGAATTACTGGGCAATATATGTTTTCCAGTGAAAAATTTTAGTTTTTTTTTGCTAGCAAATGTTTATTTCCTGAGGCACTGGTTGACCATATAGGTAACTCACTATCGGAAGCTCAACATGATTACATGATTGTAGTCTGTTATTACTAGGGACTTTCATGGTCAGAGTTTGGAGATACCAATGAAATGGTCAAGTCTGTGGTGAATGGATGCCTGGGTGAAGAAGGCTTCCAGCCAGCTTCTAGCGAATGGAGTTTAAGTCCAGGTGTCAAATGGTACTTTCCCTGAAATTATTCACTTCTCTCTTATCTCTTTTATTTTTCCAGAAGTTTGCACGCCATCAGAGTATTTTTCCAGATTTTTCTAAACCTGCCATGGAACAGGGTTTTCTCCCTGTCACCTCCACAAATAAGCATCTGGAACCAGTGATGGCCTTCAAGGTAGAACCTGTCTGAGAAGGATTTCTGCAGAGTGGAATCCTGGAGCTGACGGCTCCTTAGGCACCTTAAGTACCACAGTGGACGTAGAGGACTGAATGCCACATTGAAAATGGAAGACCTCCATTGATGTCCTTTACATGAACATCTGCTCAGCCCACCCTTTGTGGGTGGGGCCTTGGAAGTCATTTCCCAGACCACATCCACTGGGGCTACCTGCAGGGATTACTGAAGAACTACTTCTTCAATTTACCTGCATGGCCTTCAGTCAGTCTTCTGGTCAACCTCTTGGAACTTTCTTCAGCCCTTTAAAAAGGCTTGGAATAGGGAAAGGGTCTTGGTGGGAAATATGACACCTCCCCTCCAGAGTTGGCCCTGGGACAGATTCATGAGGACGCTTCTCCTTTTCCACATCTGGGAACCATCTCTTTGAATTCGCTGTGTTTACTTGGACTAGCCCAGATGTTTTATGTCTGGGAGAAGCTAACAGGACAAGCTGTGAGACAGTGGGAAATATTTAGCAAATAATTTCCTGGTGTGAAGGCTCTGTGATGACTAAGGAGTATTATGTGTTTGCAGAAATAACAGGTCAATGAATTGCTCCCCAGCAGGGCCTTTTCTTGGGGGGAAAGGCATCCATCAAGAAAAGTGCCACACTTATTTTTCTATCAGATATACTCGACAAAGAAGTATGCATGCTTTTTCTCCTTTGGAAACTGACACCTCTGGAGAGAAATCTAACTGACAAGCACCCTGGCTGTGGAGAAGAGATACTGTAGAGGGTAACAACAGGATCAAGAACAGTTTTGACTTAATGAGAATGCTGGACTTATCATGCGTTCTGAGTTTTCATTCTGATTTGTTTCACTACCTAGAGGTTCTGAGCTTGGTCCTTCATAGTTCTGTTTTATGAGCTATAAACCAAGTTCTTTATGGTTCTGTTTTCTGAACTGTACATGCCAAACATGGGTTGAAAAGATGTTATATGAAAATATTTCAAAAAAGTATAAAAGCACTATTTGAAATTCCATCGAGTAATTAGCCTTATTTTCACAGTGCTGTTCTGAGCATGAAAAAAAAATGCCATCCACTTCTCAGTCTTGAAAAATATTTGCTTTCAATTAATTTTCCCCCTTCCCCTTTCTCTTGTTGTCATTACTGGTGATATCCAGAGGTCACACACTTGGTTGCTGTGCTTGCACATTTGGCTGTGGTGTTCACTAGCCTTGCTACACCTGGTTAGAGAGCATCACAGTTACACACTTGTCCTGGAGGTCCCTGGGTTGCACTGATGAATTAGGGTGGTGCTTGACCTCATGCCTACAATATAGCTGCCATCATTTACAAAGCAATAGACTATATTGCTATATTCCAAGCAATATAGTCTATAAAGTAGACTTTCCCACATTCTTCTGTTTGAATTCCTTAGGACAAGCCAGCAGTGGTGTGAATTTGAGGCAATAATACTCTTGTCAATCATATTCCACACTACGGACACACCGGAGCCATTGACAGGGACTAAGAAGTTCACGTGAGAGTGCAATGGTGTCTTGGCAATTATTCTCTTCCTCTTTTAAAACTTTACCCTTTCCCTACCCGTTTACCAAAGCAATTTTACTGTTTGGTAGTGTTGCACTGCCCACACTAAAATTAGAGTAGGGCCAGAGCAATAATACAGGAGGTAGGGTGTTTGCCTTGCATGAGGCCGACTTGGGTTCAATCCCCAGTACCACATATGGTCCTCTGAGCCCCTAGAGGAGTGATCTCTGAGCATACAACCAGGAGTAAGCCCTGAGCACCACTGACATTGGCACTCAAACAAAACAAAGAAAAAATAATTTAAAAAATAATTTAAAAATTAGAGTAAAATGATGCCAAGTGGATTTTGTTAGCCTTTTGTCTTAGTTTCCAAGTGAGTAAATGTAGGCATGTGAATTAAAGAGTTAGGGAGTCTCTCTCTCTCTCTCTCTCTCTCTTTCTCTCTCTCTCTCTCTCTCTCTCTCTCTCTCACACACACACACACATACACACTGGAAAAAAAACTAACTTTGGGCTGAGGAGTTGAAGAGTCAGAAGCCAAGATGAATTTCAGGAGATGAAAAGTTGGCTGGTGCTGTCATCTCACACAGAGAACACACATGGCAGATGTGAAACTATACCCTCCTTCTCAGGATGCTTCAAGTTCGCATTTCCACCAGGTACATGATTAAGTGGCCTCATGCACAGGCAGAGTGGGCAAGACTGTAAGAGGGAGAAAGCATCAAGTCAGGAACTCTGTACCTGGATCCAGGGAGGATCACTCAGGGTTTCAAAAATGTTAGTATCCCAAATGGTAAGAGCACGTGATTGCAATACTTATAGAACATCCTTAGGTTCATTTAGGAAACGGCAGTTTGTACAGATGAATGTCCATCGAATTTCTGTAGAAGCCATAGTTCCCTTTCATAGAAGTTAAGTCCACCTTCAGATGCTTTATCAAAAGTGCTGGAAGCCCATTCAGCATAGGAATTAGCTGCTCTTCTGAGTAGTTTGTGAAGCCCTACTTCAACACAGAAATATTTGCCTCTAACGGGATACAAGGACTTGACTTTTCTAAATCTTGAGTTGGCAGATCTTTAGAATAGAACCAGAAATACGTTTGTGGTAAAAAGTAGTTGATACGCTACATCTAAGAACTTAGTTCAGTGTCTGGCCAATAGTAAGCCCCCTTTACCCCCACCAACAGCATTAGAATAAGAGAGAAGAAAATGGTAGAAGAGAGAATAACCATAAATTTTTTTAAACAAAATGGTTTAATATAATGGAAGAAATTGACTTGGTGGAGAAGTCATGTGGGTTGTTGAGGATTAATACATAAGCAAGGGAATGCTTCCTGGCTCTCAAAATCACAGTGCATGAGGGAACACGGGGTGGGGGAGTTGCCCTTCATCCTCTTAGTCTTAGATGGACTCAAGCTGAAACCATGATGGAAATTTGAGATCAGCAAACTCAGCATTTCACACCTAGTCTGTGAGATAGAGACAACAGATGTAGACAGACAGACATTATATGTGTGTGTGTGTGTGTGTGTGATATGTGTGTGTGTGTGTGTGAGAGAGAGAGAGAGAGAGAGAGAGAGAGAGAGAGCGAGAGAGAGAGAACACGAGAGAGAAGAGAATTTATCCAGGAAAATAGTTTTCCAATATCTCCACTGAGACCTATCAAGCATTTCAGAGGAAGGTAGATGATCACAGACCATTTTTATTCGTCGTCTCCACTGCCAGGGAAAGCCGTGTTTTCAGGCCCTCTTTGTCTGTGGAATTAGATCTACAGCTATAATAATTTTACCTGTGGATGTCCCAAGACACAAAACAGACGAGAGTATCAGCTGCACATCCACTCAAAAGAAGGCCTGTGGGTTTTGTTTTTATAATAACTCTTAGCGGGTTTCACCATACAAAATACTGAGCTGCACAGCCAGAGCCCAGCAAAGCCTGCTTATTTGCTGGGGTTGCAGGAACTAGAGCCCACCGCAGGCTGTGGACATGGAGAGAGTGTGTGAAGCACATATGTTTGACCCCATGGTGCGGTCAGAGCTGGGCATCTCAGAATAATTTAGTCTGGTTCCCCAGTGCCTTCTTCATTGGCAACTTTATTCAGTGGCATTAATTAGATAATTGCTTAATACTCTATCTTTCCTTTTTAAAATATAGCCACGGGCCAAAAAAAATCTTAGGATGAAGCTGTTTGCTTAATTCCATGCCAACTGTCTCCCATGGTTTTCCGACGAATTGTTTGCAGGCACAAATTTGATCTAATTGGTTGATAAGATACAATCAATTAGTTCGTTGATCAGAGTCTATTATTGCTATTTATTTTCTTCTTGAGATTTAATTTGTTTATTCTCTAATTTTCAGCTTTTAATCATGTACAATTAGACTTACACCTCCTGCCACTTGCAGTGTCACTCTGTGTATGCTCTGTGGGTGAAATTAAACGTAGATGTCTTTTTCTGAGCATTTACTGTGGACACAGGACTGTTATAGGTACTCTAAGTCATATACCAAAAAAGGCAAGACAGAAACTTCCCTTTTAAGGAGTGTGTAATCTAGTGGAGGGAGAAATGAGTTCAGAGCTGAAGTCAACATTTTTTTTTTGTTTTTTGGGTCACACCTGGCATTGCACAGGGGTTACTCCTGGATCATGCACTCAGTAATTACTCCTGGCGGTGCTTGGGGGACCATATAGGATGCTGGGAATTGAACCCAGGTCATCCACATGCAAGCAAACGCCCTACCCACTGTGCTATTGCTTTAGCCCCTGAAGTCACAACTTCTTTTCCTTAACCTCAGGAGTATATTGGAGGAGGAACACAGACACTGCCTACAGCAGAAGATCTAGATTCAATTGAGAAGGTTTGTAAGGACAAATTCACCTTGAACTTGGACTAGAATGAAGAGCAGCATTTTGTTGTTTGGGAGGGGAGTTGTTTTTTCCTGGGTCATGCCCAGCGATGCTCAGGGGTTACTCCTGGCTCTGCACTCAGGAATTCCTTTTGGCAGTGCTTGGGTGACCATGAGGGATGCTGAGGATTGAACCTGGGTTGGCTGTGTGCAAGGCAAATGCCCAACCCACTGTGCTATTGCTCTGGGTAACGAAGGGAGAAGGTAAGGGGATAGGAAAACCAGCACCGACAACCACAAAGTGGAGAGCGCATTTGAACAGAGAATTTCTTTAAAACCATTTTTATCACAGTTGACTTAAATAAGTAGCACTAAGCATCATCTTAAAATCAAAACAAAGGTTTACATTTAAATAAAAATGGCATATGAATATTCAGATAAACTGTTGCAGGTTTATAAGGTATTAAAAACAAAAGACCACATCTCAAAACCAATAAAAATTCTTCTCTAAGCAGGCGCTGTGATAAATATCCCAGCCCCCATGTGTCTATGCAGAGGGAACCCCTTGAATCTCACTTGAATGACTGTACCATTTATGCTGAAGTCCGTTCTGTTCGTATTTCTCCGGAGACAGCATTCATTTTT